TAATATATATATATATATATATATATATATATATATATATTATATATATATATATATATATATATATATATATATATAATATATATATATAGATATATATATAAGAGAGATATATATATATATATATATATATACATACACACACACACACACACACACACACACACACACACACATATATATATATAGATATATATATACATATGCATAAGAGCGTATATACGTATGTGCGTATGTTATATTTGTATACTTGGTAGATGGGCTGGATATCATCGTGAATGCTATCAAACACATACCCATGAACCATACAAGGACTGCCATGGCTGCTGCGCTGGTACGCAGACTCGCGAAAATTCTCAGCTTTCATTTTGTATCATAATCTAAATACTCCATGCATACACACACATATACACATTGTTCGTATTTATGATCGAGTATAACCACCTCTTCATCTAGTACCATCTACCCTGTCAGACATACGTATCAAGTGGGGCTTACATTAGAGCTCATCTGTGCTCATTAGCCTCATCCGCATCCCATGCATCCCACCCAGTCCAAGCTGAGTCGGTTACGCCTAACCCTCCTATGCCCGCTTTCTCGTACCTCTAATCCCAAACCCACAGGTTCTCAACGAGCGTACCAAGACCCTCAACCCCGACGAAGCACACCTGCTGGGTTCAATGGGTCACATCTCCGACATAGACGTCAGCACTCACTTCCACGATTCATTCTATCTCAAGGGTATCAACTCGCTCTCCCAAGGCTACCTGCTCACCAGTATGATGCTGGGTGCGCTGGTGGTGTCCTTTGTCGAGCGACGGTGGTTGCAGAGTTCGGCTTATCTAGCCGTGCTGTCGCTGTGCTCGGGATTGGGGTTGATCCATGCCTGGCGGTTCAATGAGAAGACGGGTGTGTGGATGGTGGATGTATACGGATACGTGTATGAGGTGGTGTTGTTTGTTCGCATTTTTTGATGCATAGTTCTGGAGATGTAGTTTAAGCAGGTGCTTGTTTACGGCTGCATTGATATATATATATATATATACTCACTTATGCGATAAGCATGCTCACAATACCCTACATTATGCGTACTGCACCATGCACCTCCGAGTCATATATGATTAGTGAGCACGGGTGCTAGCTTATACTGCAGTTTTCCATCACTTGCACAAGTATACAACTCCCCATACCCTTCCTTAGGCTACAGCTAACGTACATCTCCCCTATATGCTCCCCACACTAGGTGCCACCGAGTCCTATATGATTGGGGAACACGGATGTTGGCTTGCGGCCAAGGAGTATTGCATTGTCTATGGCATCTGTTCGTTTGGATGCTTTCTGCTGCAGCTGACCCAGAACGTCAGGTTCCGCGCGTCGTTTAGGAACGGTTTTGGTGCCGTGTGTGTCTTCGGCCGACAGGTATGCAATTATTTCATGCTATTGTATTGTGACAATATTTATATATATATATATATATATATATATATACTGTATCTGTATCTGTATTTATAACTTGAAGCTAAATTTATATGTATATGTATATGAATCTAAATCTATTACTCTATATCTATATCTCTATCTCTATCTATAGCTACATTTATATTATCATTCTCTGTAGTCATATCTGTTGATATACACACAGAGAACCACATACATGCACTACACATGCACATGTACATGCACACAAGCTAACGTTCCCACTACTCCATATCAATCCAGCATTACCGGAAAGGAGATCGCGATGAACTGTCTCTATTACTGGCCGATGATACGTCATTGTTCTACGATGCAATGTCACAGAACGGGATCAACGGTCGCATAACACCCACAGCGTAAGGTGCTGTTGTAGCGGGCAGAATCCAGTCTGTATACACACATATCTGCACACCCGTACCTATACTATACGTGACAGATCATGTGTATATACACACATACATGCACTACCTATGCTGTATTGAACAGAGCACGTATACACACACACACACACACACACACACATATGTATATATATATATATATATTTGTACGGGAGGTGGGAGTACATGTGGTGGGTGGAGCGTAGGCTAAACATCCGTAGGTAGAATCTGTGGCATTCTATTTATAGCCAGTGCACGGGTGTATATACTAGCGAGGAGAATTCGCCGTGTGCGATCGGATTGTGCACTCTGAGGCCACTGTCGTGGTGGGCCAAGGTGTTTCTTAGGTAGAATCTGTGGCATTCTATTTATAGAAGGTACACGGTGTTGCGAGGTAGACGCGTTAGTGGGCTCATTCTAATTGGCTCTTGGGCGGGTGTAGTATACGTTCTTCCAAATAATTCCACTGAACTGTCTCGGGGTCGAAGCGAAACTGAGCGGAGGTGAGCTGACTGAGAGATGCACACAACTCCACATACGTATGAAATTCATATCTAGGTGTAGTTGTGGGTGCACGTATATGCCTATGCATATATTCCGTGCCTCCCATACACAGCTATAGTGTAAGTGTATAGTGCCTTGTTTCGAGGTTTAGTGGCAGAGATGAGACGGGGAGACAGAACGGCATAGTACGCATCAGTAGCATCACAGGGACGGCGAGAGTATGGGGGCGTCCAGTTTTGTTTGTATGTATAGACGTTTCATATTGAAAGGCGGTACCATTCAGGTGTGAGGTGCGGAGATATCCAAGCGATGCACACAGGTGTACTTGTACGGACTACTACTAAAGGACTCGCCATACGACGAGGTGGGTCGTGTATAGAACATAGTGCATGTATATACATGTATTTGTATGTGTATACGTACATACAGGTTGATATATGTAGATATACGTACATTCAGATACGTATATATACATACTATCATTATATGTATACGTACATGCAACTCAATATATGTATACGTACATGCAACTCAATATATGTTTACATACGTACAATCATATACGTATTCGCATATACAACTCAATATATGTCGACATACGTACAATTATATACGTATACATACAACCTAATATATGTATATATACGTACACTCATATACGTATACGTACATACATCCCAATATATGTCTACATACGTACATACATACACGTATACATATACAGCCCAACATATGTTTACATACATACGTACAATTGTAGACGTACACAGGCATGCAGTCACATGCCACAGTTTGACTATCTGTCGAATCTCGACTGAATTGGCTGGAAGCCAAAGGAGGTCTGGTGGGTGTACAGGGCAGTCCACAACGACACGATAGAGGAGGAGAGGTGGAATCAGGAGAAGGCAACGGCAAGAGGAAGTGGCGGTAGGAATAAGAGTTGGAATGGAGCGATCAGAGATACTGGTCAACGCCCAACAGATACATACATGGAGACGGCCGATGCGAGAGGGCAGGTGACACTATTTTGACACTTTGACACGAGGGAGAAGAGCACGGGACAACTGCCAGGTGTCTGTGCGAGAGGTTGATTCGCCGTACTGTCACTGTGCATGACTGGATGACTGGAGTGTGTGCGTTGGAGGAGAGAGAGCGGTACAATTACTGGAGGTACAATTACTGGAGGTGCAGCGAGCGGTATACTCTCTGGAGGTACCGCTGCATGCATAAGTCGGACTGTGTACAGAATGAACGCCTCTAGTCCAACTGGCCTGTGTGTGCTGTTAAGGGGGAGATTGTTCTATTTCGGGTACAAGGTTACTACTGGTGCCCGAGACGTTATCGGTTTGGCCTTTGTTGTTACCGTTGGGCTATCAGGTGCAAGGTTACTACTGATGCATTAAACGTTAACGGTTAAGACGTTAGTTGTTACCGATAGACTATCAGGCGCAGTCACGATGGTTCGGTGGGGAAGACTGACCAGGCGTGTGTGCAGGGGTGCTTCTATTTGGCCGAAACTCTGTGGGGAATACGTACACAGCTAAAGATATGTGTATATGATGTATATATGTATAAATGTACGTATATATGGATGTATATATTTGCATATATATATATATATATGATATATATGTATAAGTGTATGTATATATGGATGTATATACATAAGTACATGCTGTAGGTCCGAGAGGCGGAGAATTGGTGAAGGGTTGGGACCTTATTAAGTCCATTGTAGCTGGTAGTTGCGAGCCATGTCAATGTATTGGACTGAATATCTCTGCTGTCGGTACGGGCGAGTAGGAGGTAATTCAGAGCTAGCCGGTAGAGGTGAAAGGGTAATTTGAGTATAAGTAAACGTAAAAAGAAAAAGACAATAAAGAACAGTTTTAAAATGAGAACATTTATGGCTAAAACCGTAAACCCTATACGCGTTTGCGCGCACAGGTGGATAGTGGCTTCGCTAAAACCAGTGCAAAACAAAGCGTGGATTCATTAAATAAAAACCAGGTTTTATAACTCTCACTGTTACGGTCCAAAAACCATCCTTTGTGCAGTTGGGCTACCATGCTCTGGGGTTATAGTATACTATACATGTTCATCTGTGCCTTACAGTATACTATTCTAGTTCATCTGTGGCTTACAGTATACTATTCTTGTTCGTCTGTGCCTTACAGTATACTATTCTGGTTCATCTGTGCCTTACAGTATACTATTCTTGTTCAGCTGTGCCTTACAGTATACTATACTTGTTCATCTGTGCCTTACAGTATACTATACTTGTTCAGCTGTGCCTTAAGTATACTATTCTTGTTCATCGGTGCCTTACAGTATACTATTCTTGTTTATCTGTGCCTTACAGTATACTATACTTGTTCAGCTGTGCCTTACAGTATACTATTCTTGTTCAGCTGTGCCTTACAGTATACTATTCTTGTTCTTCTTGTCATTATTACTGTATGCTACGCTTGTCGTTCTATGCCGTGACATGTAGGCTATATCCAATCTATCCATGCAACATAGCATCTATCAGTCTCTCAATGCCTATCCACCTCAGCCGCACCCGCGCCCGTTCAAGAGCGCAAGCAACACGCACCAACAATGATAGAGTGTGCAAGACAGGAAACCACCGCGTAATACGTTCGCACGGGGGTGGGTTAGTGTGAGGATGTCTTCAGTAGACCGTGTCGATGATAACTCATACGTAGTTGAACAGTTAGGCTGGGCTCCGAAGGTTACATGACACACAGACGCTGGTCAGTGCTTGTGGCCTGCAGACAGGGGGGTGGGGTATGGCCGAGAGTTGAGTGGGATGTGTTGCATGGATGGGGGAAGGAGAGCTACTGCGCCAATGTCTAGGGGCGAGAATAGAAGTGTGTGCTCTTGTTGCCATCACTGTAGTTGTACTATAAAGACGTGTGACGGTAGTTGTACTATAAAGATGGGTGACGGTAGCTGTACTATAAAGACGGGTGACGGTAGCTGTACTATAAAGACGGGTGACGGTAGCTGTACTACAAAGACGGGTGACGGTAGTTGTACTACAAAGACGGGTGACGGTAGCTGTACTATAAAGACGGGCGACGGTAGTTGTACTATAAAGACGTGTGTGCTGTTAATTTATTTGTCTGCACCTGATTACGTGTGGTATTTCGTTGTGCTACATATCAAAGCCCATTCGCATTTGTGTTGTAATATACTATATTAACCCGTGTGTCATTCTTATTTATAAGACAGTACAATACCTTGACGTGAGTGAGATGCATACGATGGGATAGTCTGAATATCGAGTGGAGATTTTAGGGTTTAGGATTTAGAGTTTTTAGGGTTTAGTGTTTAGGGTTTATCGAGTGGAATCCTGGCAGGATTGATATGTGTATGACGAATCGGGTGGTCAAATGAGACACAGACACAGATACACAGACACAACCAGAACTACACACATAAATATAATAGATGAATGCACGGCACACGAGTACACAGGCTAACATACGTAATTGCGTATTCATAATCACAACCTGAGCAGACAAGTAATATCGCTTGCGAGGTGGCATGGTCTGCTGACACAGAGTATCTACATCATCATTGTAGATGCGGTGTCTCCACGAGTCACCTCTCGTTAAGTAGGCGTACAACAACTACAAACAAATAGCAAACAACAACTACAAACAAATAGCAAACAACAACTACAAACAAATAGCAAACAACAACTACAAACAAATAGAAAACAACAACTACAAACAAATAGCGTACAGCAACTATAAATAAATAGCTTTGACATGAAAGGTACTCCTAGCTACCAATCCAGCAGCTCACCAGGCGAGCGCAAAGCCTCACGAAAAGTGCATTCGTTCACATATGTGTGTGTATGTCTATGCTATTTGTATTTGGTTGTTAAAAAGCATTGTATTATAGATTGATACCTCTGTATACACGTGCCTACTATACAATGATAGTACATACGGTTTATTTGTATTTGTTTGTTTGTTCGTATGCGTTGCGGCTGATGTACAGGCTATGCGGCCGTATCCGTATCCATGACAACCGCCGCCCCATGACTAGCAGAGTCGCTCTTAGCACTACCGCCATTATTCTTACCGCCGCTCATAGCAGACCCACCATTCACCACACCACTACTAACATTAGCAGACGGCTGCATGGGCACATTGCTCGGCGGCTGACCATCTCCACTCACCTTCGCATCGGTATTGGCATTGGCGGGTGCACCTGCACCCGAATTTGCCAACCCGGGTGCGCTGGTTGGTAGACTGGCAGGTGCATCTGCACCCGCATTTGCCAACACAGGTGCACTGGTCTGTGCATTGCCATTGGCAGGTGCACCTGCACCCGAATTTGCCAACCCGGGTGCGCTGGTTGGTACACTGGAAGGTGCACCTGCACCCGTATTTGTCAACCCAGGTGCATCTGCACCCGTATTTGTCAACCCAGGTGCATCTGCACCCGTATTTGCCAACACAGGTGCATCTGCACCCGTATTTGCCAACACAGGTGCATCTGCACCCGTATTTGCCAACACAGGTGCATCTGCACCCGTATTTGCCAACACAGGTGCACTGGCCTGTGCATTGCAATTTGCAGGTGCACCTGCACCCGTATTTGCCAGTCCGTTTGTGCTGGGGGGTGCATGGCCCGGGTCGCCTGCCTCGTGTGCGTTGTGGGTGTCTGGTGCATCTTTGGCCTTTTTGCCGCGCTTTCGCTTCAGCTTGCGCACGTGGTCTGAGTGTGTGGCCAGTGTGTGCAGCACCTGCAGTGCAAAAGATCCCAAAGACAGCCAAAAAAAACCCACCGCCCATAAAAACGGCAATTAATAACCAAAAACGGATTGGGTGTTGACGAAATTGACCTTTTGGAAACATAAATAAAAGAGACTCCGCTTCCGCTTGTGAATATGGTAGAGTAGAATATATATATATATATATATATATATATATATATATATGCATATATGTCTACATAATTACATATAAATATCTATAAACACAGGATCCTGTGATTTGCTGAGAACGATACACAACTCAGTGGACAAGCGGTGTGGATTGATACATTATGTAATGTTGTAGTTATTGGAAAAGAAATGTTGTAATGTTGTTAGCTTACCTCTATGGTGTAGTTGAGATACAAGCAGCGCACCTCTATGTTGCAGCTATGTATGCATGCATACTGCTAGTGTAGTCTATGGATGTAGCAAGCTTATTGCACTACCCTCTATGGTGTACTTAGTGATATAGTAGCGTTACATGTATACTCCCGCCCTAAAAGTAAGAATGGGAGATGGTGGTTGGGGTATTCTGTTTTGATATATAGGGTTTTAGTAGGTATTGTTATAGAATCGATATTCGCATATCTCAATGTTGTAGTAGTTGATGTAGGGTTTAAGTCTGTATTGTTATTGTTATAGAATTGATATTCGCATATCTCTATGTTGTAGTAGTTGATGTAGGGTTTTAAGTAGGTATTGTTATAGAATTGATATTCGCATATCTCTATGTGGTAGTAGGTGATGTAGTGTTTTAGTAGGTATTGTTATAGAATTGATATTCGCAGATCTCTATGTTGAAGTAGTTGATGTAGGGTTTTAGTAGGTATTGTTATAGAATTGACATCCGCATATCGCTATTTAGTAGTAATTGATGTAGGGTTTTAGTAGGTATAGTTATAGCATTGATTTTCGCATATCTCTATGTTGTAGTTGTTGATGCAGGGTTTTAGTACGTATTGTTATAGGAATGATATTCGCATATCACTATGTAGTAGTAGTTGATGTAGGAGTTTGGTAGGTATTGTTATAGAATTGATAATCGCATACCTCTATGTTGTAGTTGTTGATGTAGGGTTGGAGCGCCTCTCCAAAGATGCCCAGCATATCCATGTAGGTCTCACTCAGGTTGACCTGCCAATATAGCAGACAAAGCAGAACAATCAGACAATGGAATTAAAAAAACCCCCGACAATACAGAGCCAAATCACGACCCCCCCCCCCAAAGAAACAATACAGACCCAAAAGAAAAATCAGACAATGGCAGATAAATACGACATTGCGGGTGAGCAAAATACATGGTATAGATGAGAGATATTGGATGGGAGTCACTGTCTCCTATACGACACACATTTTGTTCATTCAAGAGCGGGACGGTGCTGAGATATCAGACTCTACAGACGGAAGAGATGTACATATGCACTTGTAATCGAGGCCAGGCCTTATGTGTGAGTGCGCATGTTGTGTGTTCGTAAATGTGTATTGTATATACAGATGGCTAAAGAGACTGCCGACGTCCGACACCTAGCTATGTCAAAGGCAGCGTGCATACAACACAAGCGACTAGGACAAGCGTGAGACCAGGGACAAAGGATAAGGACCTGGGAACATTGGGGGGGTCCACCCCACCCGTCAGTGCGTTGGGTGGGTGGGTGTGGTCTGTGTGGTTGTAGATGAAGTGGCTAGCACACACCCACTTGCGAATCCAAACGAGTGCCCAAACGATACATACACATGCATATGCACATATATGTACATGTATTTCATACACTAAATGTACATGTACTTTATACACATGCATATGCACATATATGTACATGTACTTTATACACATACATGCACATATATGTACATGTACTTTATACACATACATATGCACATATATGTACATGTACTATATACAATTACATCTGCACATATATGTACATGTACTTTATACAAATACATATGCACATATATGCACATGTACTTTATACACATACATATGCGCATATATGTACATGTGCTTTTGTAGACTTGTGTATAAGTATTACCCTGGGCGGCGGGTTCTTTGGTGCCGCACCCGTCAGTGCGTTGGGTGGGTGGCTGTGGTCTGCGTAGTTTCGGAAGAATTTGCCCACAGCGTCTAACAACGCACCCTGCACCCTCAGAGCCTCGTCCCTTCGCACGGGATTGCTATTCTTAACAGAGAGTGCTGGCTCTAAGATGTTACTGTAGGCCTGTAATCACAAAGGATCGTTGTGTCAGTCGTGGATGTATGTGTAATGTGTGTATGCATGTATGTGTATGTGTATGTGGATGTACATATATATCAAGGTATATATATATATATATATATATAGATAGATATACAAACATATATACATACATACATACATACATACAGATATATGTATACACACACACACATATATATATAT